GCTGGACTCTCTCCAGTAGCTCTTCGTCTTTCTTGAACTGGGGAGCCCAGTTGATTATTACAAGTCACCGTATTCCTCTTGGACGACTACCAACCGATCTGAACGTAGCGCTTGCTGAAGCAATGAAGCAGAAGCCAAGGCAGCTAAAATAGCTGGGTGACCGCCAGTCTGCCAGAGCAGAGCTGCCCCTGCGGGCTCTAACCCGGGTCAGCTCCAGGCTGGGCTGAAATGTTGGGCTTCAGCACTTTCCTGAAAGCAGGATCCAAGTGAAGGTGTCTCTTTCCACCACTTGCTGCAGGAAAGCTATATATGGGGAAACCCAGGGTAAATAAAAGCAAGACAAATCAGAGAACAGAGGACTAGAGAGTGAAGAGTCACAGGACTTCTTACATGTAGATACCTCCATCCACCTCCAGCGTACGCATCAGCTGTTTGTTCAGTCGCTCTCGGGGCTGTGGAGCTTTATTTCTGTGTCTGGCAACACTACTGCAACGGCCAAAGGCCTGAGTCAGAGCCAGTCTCCAGTCTACTAGGTACCATAAACACCGAGATAATATTTATCCTTAAAAATTCAGGCTCATCTATTGCAGAAAGTATAAGGCAAATGACCCACCTCTATATTTCTGTATATCTTTACAAAATTCTCCAAAAATAGATGCAGCTTTGGGCACGTTACAGGACTGGGTTTTGCCCAGAGGAAGCACAGATTTTTGTCTTTCATAAATCACACTCTTAACAAACCTAGCAGGACAGGAGCTGACTATCTTCACTGAAGGCTGTAGCTACAACACGCTCAAAGCGTGGAAAAGGTGCTCTTACTATAGCAGACGTACTGGTAGAACGTACCGTAACGAGAAGCCTCTTTCAGTGTGTAAAATAACAACTGAAGGGAAGCCTGCCCACTAGTCCTGCATTTCAGGAAGCTGCCAAACCCACGGCCCGCGGGCGCAGAGCGGGCTTGGTAAGAGTCGACCACCACTTGGCATTTTTATTTTGGCAGTACCTAAAGATCAGATCCTTACACAAGAAATGCATTTATCTACTGGCAGCTGCCGTCGCTGCGAAGCTGCCAGCCCAGGAGAG